CCCAGATTGCAGCTTCTGCCCTATTTTACCCCACTTCTTAGCGTTTTATCCCACCACCGAGCCACTCTCGGCCAAAGGTGCTGTTTGACCAGTGCTGAGGGCTGTCCTTTTCCCCCATGGTTTGCTTGCGGGTGGCTGCGGAGGTGGCTGCGGTCACGCAGGCCGGAGCGTGACCCGTGCACAGCATCTTCTGTGCCGTGCCTTCCGCACTGTGCGCCGTCATGAGCTGCTTGGCCAGCACAAATCCGAGGATCCGGTACCTCCCTCGTGCCGATGTGCGGCACCTCTGGGCACAGTGCAGGAGCAGGTAAGCAGCTCGCTCGGTTTAAAGGAAGTTGAGCTTTTTGCCCTTTTTCTGTCTCAATTCAGATCCAGCCCCACCATCACTGTCACCCGTCAGACTCATGGGTGACAGCGAAGGTGGCGTCCCACCTCGGAGCCTCCCTCTCCTGTGGGATGCAGCTTTGCATTTCCAACCCCCTTTTAATTTCCTCTTGGGGTTTTTGTTGAGTCGCTGAATTGCACGCTGGCAGCACAGCAGGTTTAGTGGGTCACCCCAAATTAATATTCAAGAGGGCTGAGGACAGCAAGGTGTGACAGGCTGCTGTACCTATGGTTTATTCTTTTTTTGATGAGGGGGGGTCTGTTACAAAGCCGAGCTGCTCTCCCTTCTGCTTTCATACGGTTTTGAGTGCTCGGTTTCAGCTTTGTCCTGGGAAAGGTGAGGAGGGACTCTCAGATCACAAATGTCTGAATTTAACATCTACACGGCTCCGTAGCGCAGGACACGTGGGCTGCACAGATGTTCCAGCATCGCTCAGCTGCTGAGGACCTCATGGCCCTGCAGCCACCACAGCAAAGCAGGGACAAAGATTCCCACCGAGATGTGTAGATTTCTGTTGTGGGATTCAGGATGGGTGGAGGCATCTGGGACGGAAGTTTGTCTTCATTTGTGCTTCTTATTTTATAAAATATCTTGGAATGTATGCAGCAGGGGAGGGCAGGAAGGAGCAGATAGCAGTGTCTGGGGTCAGGACAGGCTGGTGGGGAGCTGGCATGGTTGTCCCCCCATCCTGCTTCCCTTTCCCCACCATCTCCCCAGGGCAAATAGCAACACCATCCCCTTCTTCTTGCCCCACAGCAGAGGCCAACGTGACCATGTCTTCCCTGTGCTAGGCCTGTCTCCCACCGCCTCAGTGACCCCCCAGCCCGGCGGCGAGGATGCGTGCTTGGAAGGCAGTGGCCAGCACACTGGCGCTCAGTGGGGCCGATGTGGTGGTCACCACGCTACTCTACGCTCATGGCCGGGGTGGCCGGGATATCCTGCAGGACCTGCGGCACTTCAACATCTTCAACTCGCTGCTGGACATTTGGGGGGGCTGCCTCTACCGCAGCTGCGTGCTGCTGGGGGCTGCCATCGGAGTGGCCACCAACACAGCTTATGGCCCCCGGCGCCTCAGGGCATCACGGACCTTCATCGCCGTTGTCTGCCTCCTCATGGGCATCTACATGATGGTGAAGCTGCTGCTCTATTCAGAGGTGCGGAGGACCATCAGGGACCCCTGGTTCTGGGGGCTCTTTGCCTGGACCTACGTGGCGTTGGTGGCCACCTTCGGGCTGTGGCAGCTGCTGGCCTGTGTCACCTCCTCCCGCGAGGCGCTGGGACCCGGCTCTGAGTCCCGTGCCGAGGTGGAGGAGAGCTGCGACGGCGGTGCCCCACGGGACAAGCGGGAGGAGGCGGCAGGTCCCACTATCCATAAGCTGCTGTCCTACACCAAGCCAGATGCCTTCTTCCTGGGCGTTGCCTCCTTCTTCCTCCTTGTGGCCGCTCTGGGTGAGTGAAGGGACCTTGGGGGGACATGGTGTGTTGGAAATACAGGTCCCATGCCGATCCCATGCCATGGGGCTGACACCCCTTGTCCTGTGCTTGTCCGGCAGGAGAGACCTTCCTGCCCTACTACACAGGGCTGGCCATCGATGGCATTGTGGTGCAGAAGAGCATGGACCGCTTCTCCACGGCGGTGCTGGTCATGTCACTGCTCGCCATAGGAAGGTAAAATCGCAGGCGCTGGTTTTGGCCCTGATGAGGAGCAGTTTGGAGTTTTCCTGCAGGAGGTCATGGTGGTGGAGGGCACGGGCTGTCTCACCTGCAGCCGCTTCGCCAGGTCCCTGATGGACCCCAGGGATGCGCTTTGATTTCTCTGCGCTGTCACAGTGCAGAGAGGCCATGGTGGCACTCAGGAGGCCATTGCGTAGCCCTCCACGTCTGTCTGCTGGTGGTGGGGAAGCAGGAGTGGACATGGGGAATGGGCTACCTGGGGAACGCAGTCCCAGCAGTGCTGCATCCCCTCCTGAAGCTTGTCACTACTGGGGTTAGGATCAGCCGTCCCCATGCTGGTAGTGCCCAGAAGAGATGTGGGCTGGATTAGACATCGCTTCCCGGGGTGAAAAGTGGTACCAGCACAGCATTGCCCAAGCCCTTGGCCCGGGCATCGGGGTGTTTGTGTTGCTGAGGAGTGGGTTTCGTGTCCATTGGTCTATAACGTTTCTTATCTGCAATTAGCTCATTTGCCGCAGGTATCCGGGGCGGCGTTTTCACGCTCATATTTGCAAGACTGAACATTCGCCTTCGCAACTGCCTCTTCAGGTCGCTGGTGTCTCAGGAGATGAGTTTCTTTGATGAGAATCGCACAGGTTGGTTCCTTTTTGCCCCGGATCTGCTCTAACTCCTCTATCCCATCCCAGTATTTTTTTCCCCTTGGTTTGCCCTACCAGCACGTAGCAGATTGGGGGCAGCTAGAGATGGCACCCAAGTGCTCGTGTTTAGAAACAGCGGCAGAAAGCTCTTCCCTTTCGTGTGCCTCCCACCGTGGGGTTGGGACAGGATTGCCCAGCACCCTGGGGATGTCCCATTGCCACCGATCAGCCTGACATCCAGCAGTCCCGGGGTCATCCCCGAAACACCTACTTTTGCTCCCATCGGTGCCTGCTGATCGGCCACTCTGCAGCTCTGCTCTGGGCATGGGAAACCTCAGATGCGTGAAGCTTGCTGGGCACGCTTGTGGCTTTCCTCGCTTGCCATTCAGTCCTGTCCTGGTCTGTGCCACTCCAGTGTGGTCCCAGCCCGCTGTAACTTTTCCCACATTTAATTTCTTCTTGGCAGTATTTTTAGTTTTGAGGCTGTTGCCATATTTAGCAATTGCTGCACGGTGCCCTGGTAGCTGAGGACACCAGAGATGCTATTCTAAGTGGGATACTGGTAACCCTGGACTTACGCAAAAGCATGGGAATTCAGCTGGACTCCAACACCGGCCAAGTACTTAGGAATTCAGGGTGATGTTTGCTGGCCGTAATGTTCAGCTCCACCAAAGGGGGCACCACAGGAGTGTCACCCTTTAGTAGATGGACCCATGTCCTCAGGGCCACTGGGGTCGGCTCCAGGCTGCAAGACACACGGCCAAACCCAAACAGCCCCTGTCTGAAGCCACCTCGTGCTCTGCAGGGTGTGCTGTGCCCGGCCCCGGCTGGTCCTGCCAGGACAGTGGGGAAAGGTGCCAGCAGTCCCTGGTGAGGTCCTGGAGGGTTCCTGGCGTCATTTAGAAATGAACTTGGGGTTGGGTTGACAGCTCTGGAGGTGCATTTAGCAGCTCAGCAAACACTCCACCCACACACCCGTTGCCCGTCTGCGTGCCCATGGGGTGCCCCCCAGTGTAGGGTGCTGCAACAGTCCCCTTTGTGTCCTGCAGCCATCCGTGGTGACCCAAGGGTGTAGCTTGTGCCTTCAGGTGCATTTCACGTCCCTTATGCATGCAGCAATTCAAGCTCCTCTGTTTTGCTTCACATCCACAGTGGTGGAGAGTTACTCCCCTTCCATGCCACCCTTCAGACCCCCAGCAAGGGGCTGGGTTGAATGGGGAGCACCATCTGGCCCTTGGCATGGGACGTGGAACGCAGCTAGGCTGTGACCTGCCATGGTGACGTGTGCCCGCTCTCCCCTTCCCCAACCCCTCATTGCTGCAGGGGATGTCATCTCCCGCCTGACATCGGATACGACCATCGTGAGCGACCTGGTATCCCAGAACATCAACATCTTCCTGCGCAATGTGGTGAAGGCCACAGGGGTGATCTTCTTCATGTTCAGCCTCTCTTGGAAGCTCTCGCTTGTCACCTTCATGGGCTTCCCAATCATCATGCTGGTGTCTGATGTCTATGGGAAGTACTACAAGGTAGGCAGGAGTGGCTGGCATGGCCATGGTGTGCCACAATGCTGGGCTGCTCCCCATCGTGGAGACTGGGCGGCCTTGGAGCTGGTGGGACTGATGCTCGGGTGCTTTGCTGCTGGCAGTGGGGGCAAGAAGGCGGCATTAAACCTGTATGGGCAGGCATGCGTAGCCTCAGCTCTTGCTTTGTCCTCAGGAGTGGAAGCATCTCAGGTCTGACAGGAGAGGTAGCTCAGTCGTGGGATGTCCCATATGTGCCTGCCTGTCCTCACGCAATCTGTCCTCTCCTCTCCCTTTGGAGTGACTTGGGTCACCCAGCACCAAGCTCCCTCCCTCCGCCTGGGACTAGCATCATCCCCCACGACTGATGCCAAGTCCCATGGACCACGCAAGCCCTGCACTGCTGCTCCCTGCATCACTTATTGGAGCTTTCCTCTGTGCCAGGGACACAGCGTGCATGGGTGCTGCTGCAGCGGGGTCCTTGGGTGCTGCCTCCCCCAGCCACGGTTGCCCCTGCGGGTCGGGTGCTCATGGGAGAAGTGGAGGTGCCCTTGGTCTCCAGACCTGTCCCTGACGTGAAGAATCCTGGAAGGGCTCCTGGGCCAAGGCGGATCCTGTCCCATCAGAGCACTGGGAGCAGCGGCTCTGCCGCAAGCTTCCCAAGTGGCCCTGGGCATGGCACTTCACCTCCTGCAACCCAGGTCACTCCTCAGGGACAGCACAACAAATCTGTTCTCCTCCCAGCACAGTCCCCCAGGCCATCCTGAGGTGTGGGATATATCCTACTGCTCAGCCTTGTTGCCTGTAGCCTTGGAAAAAAGTCACTGTGCCCTCTTTTCCCGAACCCAGCAGAGTCCGGGGCGTGCGGGGAGAGGTACTGCGGGCAGCGCGGCACCTGCTGAGCCCCCTCTGCCTCCCCCTGCTCCCCGCAGAAGCTCTCCAAGGATGTTCAGAACGCCCTGGCCAAGGCCAACAACACCGCCGAGGAGACCATCTCCGCCATGAAGACTGTCCGCAGTTTTGCCAACGAGGAGGTGGAGGCGAACGTGTACTGGCAGAAGCTGCAGCAGGTGTACAAACTCAACAAGCGCGAGGCCATGGCTTACACCTACTACGTCTGGTCCAGCGGGGTAGGTAGCTGCCACCAGGGCTTCCCTACATGGGGCTGGGGACAGGCAGGGGACATTGCTTCACATCCTAAAACGCACATGGTACGATGCACGTGCTTCTCCCCTGCTTCCAGGCAGCTTTGCGGAATCAGCCCAGCCTTGATGTCTGCCGCCAGTAATCCCCTGTCTCTTGATTGTTAACTTTTTTCACTCATCAAAAAAATATATTCCATTCCCCCATAGGGCAGGGCTGCATCGTGCCACCGAATGGTCTGTTTTCTCTTGCAAATAAGAATATAATTGATAACTGCTCAAGGTCGTGGAAAACCCCGTGTTTCTGTGCTGCTGCATTGCGTGCCTGTGCCAGCTCATCTCCGGGGCTCCGGCTGGGAAACAGCCGCAGCGTTGGTTGAGCTTCTGCTCAGAAACGGAGATTTTCTGTGTGTGGGTGGTGGCAGGGGGAGGCTGCTGGGGTTTGGGTTTGGGTTTTCTTGGGTTTTTCTTTTCTTTTCTTTTCTTTTTTTTTTTTTTTTTAAATGCTTTTTAATCATTCAGGACCAGATGGTTTGGGACTTCTGCGTGGCTGGTAACTACGGCTGTGCAAAACCCTCGCGTGAGGCTGCCCTTATCTCTGCACGTTCAAGGATCTAAGTAGCTTCAGGTGAAGGGTTTGCAAGTTAGGGTGCCCTCCTGCAGCCATGGGAGACTTTATGGCTTCCCAAATCTAGAAGCAAAATCAGAGCATTTTTAGCATTGTTCCTGAGCTCCCAGGTGAAGCCGGAGCATTAACTGGGTCAGCACAGTTCCCAACAAGTCAAAGAAGGCAAAAACCCTCAAAAACTACTCCTGCAGGGCTCACGTAGAAAGAAGCTGATGGATTTAGCACAGCCCTGGTAGTCTTTCACAGGGGGAATGCAGGATCTTAAGGTCAGATCATGGCAGAGCAATAGAGGAGGATTTTTTTTTCCCAGTATTTTTGTCTGTGTGAATTTACAGCCTGTCCCACGGACGTTACAGAGAGCACCAGGGCATCGCCGCTTTTCTGAGCACGCAGGCAGTGTGGAACAGAACTGGCTGAATAAAGGCAGGGGCTGGTACTTGTCATATCAGAGCTGATCTGTCTCCTTTCTAGAGTAGGTGGTACCCCCCACACTGATTTCAGGCAAGAGTTGAGGTTCTGCTTCAGGGACTTGTACCTGCAAGGAGGATTTTTTTGCATTAACTCTTGGCTTGATTTTGTGCTCTAAATTAAAATGTGTCACATTCACATAACAGAAAGTTTATTTTAGTGGTGAGGTGACTGCATGCGTTGGCTAATTTGAGCATAAATTATTACACTTGAGGATGTTAGCCCAAGAGAAAAGTTCATGAGATGCTCTGTTATTTCAGATAAATTCTTCTTCCTTGGCTGTTGCCCCTCTGGACTTCTGTTTTGTTGAAAGATGCCAACCCAGCTCCTTAAAGCAGCCCATCTACATGAGTTGTTTTTCTTTTCTCATATCCGTGCTCGCTGCAAGGGCTGTCAGCTGTGTGCTGTCAGGGATGCTCAAAGAATAAATGTCAGCACATGAATTGTGGGCTGTTGTGTGAGTAATTACAAATGTACCAAATATCAGTTGTCTTTGCTGATTTTGGGGCGTTTTCTTGCTTTCAGCTGACCCTCCTGGTGGTCCAGGTCAGCATCCTTTACTACGGTGGGCACCTTGTGATCTCGGGGCAAATGACAAGCGGAAATCTGATATCCTTCATCATTTACGAGTTCGTCTTAGGAGACTGCATGGAGGTGAGTCTGTTTTATCCCTCTGGGCTACCCCTATCAAGATGATACTTGTCTTCTAGAAAGTCACAGGGCCAGATCCAGTGTTAACTTCCCTGCAATGCATTTTCTTAACACTGTGGCTTTGCGTACCAGTGGGCTGATTGTCCCCTCTGCTCGCCGCTCCCCTCCTCCTGTGGCCTCGCAACCAAAGCCACTTGTCCCCTGTTAAGACCATCAGGACCAAAGGGGTCAGTCTGGCCCCGCTGAAGGGCAGAGTCCTGGCTGCCACCCAAGCACGTTTCCTGGCGTGAAGGATGCAGGGATTATGAAGCTGCCTGTTAAATTTCAGGCTTCATTAAAAACTTAATTATGTTACTTTTTTTTTTTTTAATTTATTATTATTGCTTTCCCTGGAATGGGCTGCAAGCTGCTGCGTTGGCAGCGCGTTAGCAAGATGAGATTGTGGGTGGGATGGTAGAGCCCACCCAGGGCTGCCTTTCCCTTGCAAAGGCATAAGCTTGGCTAATCAAGGCAGAAATGATCAAGTCGAGGTTTCCTCGCAGCCAAGTGTGGTTTCGGCAGCGCTTCAGCCTTTGTGCAGTGGCAAAGCAGAGCTGGAGGCAGCGTGCCCGGCTCTCGCCATCTGTTCAGATGACTGCAGGCCCTGGTGGTGTTTCCAGGCTGCGGTTTTGGTGTGAGTTTGGTTTGGTTTGGTTTTTTTTTTTCCCCTCCTGATGGGAGGGGCAGTTGCAGTACAAGCTGTTCTGCAGCTCTGGGTTTAATATTGAAAAGAGCCGACGTGATGGCGGTTTATTCCAGGGAAGCTGGTGTCAGCGTGCAGCAGTTGTAGTTGGGAAAGCACAATGGTAAGCACTAGGACCACATCCCAGCAGGGAACAGCCGTATCAGCTGCCAAGTGGTTGTCTAGAACGGTCCAGCCTGGAGCTGCTCTGCATTTGAGACGTGTGTGCTAGGGAATGAGCCGGCCGCCCTTGGGGCTGGTGCAAAGTGCTGCCGTTTGCAGACTCAGTGCAACCATTGGGTTGGGGAGTTGTTGGTCTTAAACAGAGAGAGATGGGCGGAGGATTCTGGTGGAAGTTTGGGTCATGTATCTCCTGGCACACATCTTCTCTTCCCAATCCACCCATTTCCTTCTGTTCCCCTCTGGGTCCACCCACGCACAAAACCCCTTTAGATGCCCTTTCCCTGGATATGTCCATACATCCGCTCTGTACACTGCACAGGGGGAAAAGCTTTCTTTTTCCATGTCTCATGACTGTAGTTAATGTCAGATGATAGACTTCAGAATGCTTCAACCACTCTCCTTACAAGTCACACCAATTGCCTTTTCCACCACATGGGAGGGTCTCACCGTTGACTCTTCCCTTCCAGTCAGTTGGCTCCGTCTACAGCGGCCTGATGCAGGGAGTGGGAGCTGCCGAGAAGGTGTTTGAGTTCATCGACCGCAAGCCGACAATGGTGAACGATGGGTCCCTGGCCCCAGACCACGTGGACGGGAAAGTGGAGTTCAGAAATGTGACGTTTTCCTACCGCACTCGCTCTGCAACGCAGGTCCTCCAGGTGAGCCCCGCGGGCGCAGAGCACTCCCCATCACGAGGCATCACATGCTCCTTCTCCATCGTGGCAATAAGCGGTCCCCAGCCCGCAGGAAATGTCAGCTGCCCTTTCGGAGATGCATAAAGGCAGGCTCCACAGCGTGCTGGAAAACAGATTATAAGGAACAGTGGGTGTTTACGGCCGGCCTTCCTTACAAGGAATGAGATTTATTAATAAACCCCTTGTTCCCCACTCAGGCATTAAACACGTCAGTGTGGTACAGGGCTTTGTGCCAAGCTGTCTCAGACTGTTTCCCTGGGAGAGGGGCTGGAGTCACGGGGCAGGGGGAGGCAGCAAAGAGGTTAGTTTGCAATTTTTAGAGATCCTGCTACATCAGCAGGCAAATTTGAAGCAATTTTGGAGGCTTCTTGCTTCCTCAGAGGCAGGAGAGATGGCTGATGTGGCACATCACCAAGGTGGAGGGTCACCACGGCCAGATTTCGGCTACCTTTCTTGCATAGGGCCCGAGCCACTGCCCCAGGACCCTGGAAAAAAAACAGGACCTGAGCACGTTCTCCCATCTGTGTTGCAGAATGTGTCCTTCACCCTGCACCCCGGCAAAGTGACGGCGTTGGTGGGCCCTTCAGGGAGTGGGAAGAGCTCCTGTGTTAACATCCTGGAGAACTTTTACCCTCTGCAAGACGGGCAGGTGCTGCTGGACGGGCGTCCCATTAACATGTACGATCACAAGTACCTGCACTCAGTGGTACGAGCGACTGATACGTGTATTCTAGCTAGTGCCTGCCGTGATCAGAGGGGATGGATGGTAGCCTTGCATGTTGCTTTGGATTTGATCTGGCAACTTCTGAAATGCCCAGAAAGCTGGAGGCTGGAGGCCATCCAGGAAATTAATTCAGATACTTTGAGGGGGCGGAAGGGAAGGGGATGGAGAGTGGTTTCATGGGGAGGGGGAAGTCTTCCGAAAACAGAACAAGAAACATGTTTTGCTTTGTATTTTTTGGACAACGCAGTAGAAATATGGTTTTGGTTGTTGGATTAATTATTGCCTAAATTGTGTTGGGAAAAAAAAAAAAGTGTTTTTCATTCCTCCAGCACTTTCTACCTTAAGATCTTATAGTAATCCTCAGCTAATGGGGAGTTAAACCTCACGGGATCCTGTAAGCAGCAGAGGGGCTGGGTGGTTTGCCCAGGAGAGGGGTCTGGGCCCCTTGGCTCTCGTCTGTGTGTCAGCACAGATCAGCCTTCGTCTCCTCTGCAAGTAACCGCCGCCTTTGTTTGCACCCAAGACAAACAGCCTCACCAGGAAAACCTGAAAACAATTGATCAGAGACAGGCTGGAGTGCCAAAGTCAGTGTGACTAATTTACATTCCCTGCCCGTACTGAGCGAAAATTAAAAGACAAGCGAGTCTTTCAGTTTAGAAAGCCTGCTGTGGTGTTAGCAGCATGGGCAGAAGTCTATTAAAATATGACCATGTCCCACTGGCTCTCTTCATGCCCGGTTCTGAGCAATAATTTGGAGGGTTCAATTTATTTCAATATTGAGTGTTTGACAAAGGCTGAATTTGAGAGCGAGCAGCAATGGCTGTAAGGTAGGACAGGGAGGCTGTTGCTAAGCAATTAAGGAATTGCAGCAGCTATGTCCCTAACTTGCTAATTTTGGATTAAACATGCAGGAGGGCTCATTCACGTGGCCCAAGTGTGATTACTGGCCTTGAACAGAAAATCAGCAACACCCTGTGAGAGGGTCTTTCCAGCCTGCCTTGTCCCAGCAACTGGTTTCCCATTCTGTGAAAACCAAACAGTGATGGGAATGACAGGTCGGGAGCAAAAACACAGCAGGGTCTTGGAGAGGGAAGCCCATCCCAGATGCCAACCTACCAGCATCGCATCAGGTTTCTTTCCTGCGAAATGGTTTCCCAGCAGACAATGCAAACTGGGCTGGGGCTGCCACTGGGCACCCCATCATTAGCATCCTCACTGGAAGCTCTCATTGAGGCACTTCTTTTCTGGGTTTAATGGTGGGGCTCTGCCCGCTTGAGTCCTTACCCAGCAGAGTGATGTCCATACCAACTAAGTAATGCTGGACAGACAACCACAAGCTCTTCCCTTCCTTTCTGCAGATTTCCCTGGTGAGCCAAGAGCCAGTGCTGTTCGCCCGCTCTATTGCGGATAATATTTCTTATGGCTTAACTTCAGCCTCCTTTGAGTCGGTTGTTCAGGCTGCCCAGAAGGCCAACGCGCATGCCTTCATCACCGAGTTACAAGATGGCTACCACACAGGTACCAAAATCCCTCCGTTTGCACTTGAAAGCATTTTGCGCCTAGGGAAGGCAGAACCTCTCCCCTCGGGTGGAAAGTCAGGCGGGTGGTGATGGACATGAGTCCGTGGCAGCTCAGAGGCACTGCAGAGGTGGTTACATGGAGAGGTGCAGCCGCCTGGCTGCCTTTTGGGGTGACTGAGCTGTCGCAGCCCCTCAGCCCATGCCAGGAGAGCGTTCTGCCACCGCTCTGTGGCAGCGGGGTGAGCATCCCCCATCCCATTCGGACCGGTCTGGCTCCCAGTGCCTGGCAGTGTTATGGAAATGTGGCACTGGCAGTCTCACCCTTTTTCAGTGCAGTGATCAGGAGAAAAGCCCAGAACCCAGACGGTGACCCATGTACCACCCCACCTGCATAGGAAGAAAATAAACCTGCCATAAATCCATAGTAATAAAAGCTGATGTGTTTGTGACAGTGGGACTTTTTGTGAGGAGGCAGGTCAGACTGATGGTGGTTCATGTTTATGGGAGCCAGCGGAGACATCCCGGTTTTCCCTCCCTGCTGCCTCGGCTGTACACCCTCCAGAGCACAACTTGCAGGGAGAGATGGCAGCGACGCATGGGCCAGGGCAGGAGGGGGACTTGGGGTTTGGATGATCTGCCAGGCTCAGGGGCTTCTCTGTGTTGTTTCCATGAGCACCAATCCCTCAAACTCTGGGACAACAGTGGAGAACTTGCTGCTGGAGAGAAGGACTGCAGCCTCAGAGGTGTTTAACTCATTTAAACTGCTCTGCCAAGGGAGCAGAAGTGTTTACCTGGTCTTTGCTTCAAAGCATGACACCATCCTGAGGCTGTTGGCTGGGAGCTGAACTTGATTTTTAGCCCTTGATTGTTATTTTGACCCCTTCCTCTCTCCCTTGTCCCAACAGAGGCAGGTGAAAAAGGAGCCCAACTATCAGGTGGCCAGAAGCAGAGAGTGGCAATTGCCAGGGCCTTGATCCGAGCACCCCCCATCCTTATCCTGGATGAAGCCACGAGCGCGCTAGATGCAGAGAGTGAACACGCGGTGAGTAGCTGACTCGGGTGTTTGGGCCAAAGAGACAATCTGGGTTTGGAGGAAAAACTGTAGCTCCAATTTCCAGCCTGTGGACAAGTTTAGTCTTGACATGGTGCAATCAGAGGTTTGGGTAAGATGCTAATTCCTGAGCAGGAATTTGCTTCCAACACTGCTGTAGCCACCAAAAAGGGAATAATCCTGTGCTCACAGCAGCCAACACCTGACAAACCTGATGAGGTCGGGATCTCCACCGGTTTTTGAAGTGTGAAAAGTGTTTTTTGGCATACAGCAGCACAGTGCAGCCTTTTAGGACAGGATATGGAGGAAGACCTTAAAAAAAAAAAAATAAAAATGGTACTGCAGCAGGCAGAGTATGATTGCTTGAGCTAAAATCCTAGCGGAGGCACCAAAGAAACTGCACTGGCAGGAAAGGCCCTGAGCTTTCTGTGAAATGAGCTGGGTTTATCTGGCTGGGATGTGACGACCAAGCAGCTCTGCCAGTAGTGATTGGCCTCGCTGGTTTGATAACATGAGGGAAAGCTACCTCAAGGTTGAGGTGTGAGGACAGACACATCTCCCAGTCCCAGCGTGAGCATCTGACCTTGGAGCAGCTTGCTGGCTTGCAGATCCTCAGCCATGTGTGTGGTACCTGACGCCAGCCGTGGGCTGGTTTTGGCTAGCCAGGGGTATCAGTGTGACATGTGGCCTGGTGGCCACCTGCCTGCCTTTAGACCTTAGTGCTGTTAACTCTCTCTAGCAAACAACTCTTGTTTTGCCTCGATGCACCCAGGAGATAGCCCTGCTCTTCTGAGCAGCTGCATTTAGCAGGTATTGGCTTCCTGCAAGTCCATGCCAATACCATGTGGCCCCCAAATTTGCGGTCCAGCTCTAACAAGAACCCAGCCTGCAGGATCAGACCTGTGTGCATACCCCAGCTGTGGGCTGGCTGGGCTGAGACGGTCTTTTGGGATGCACAGTGAGAGCTGGGATGGACGTGCTGGAGCTGGTACGTGCTGCAGGGAGTGTTGTGTCCTCTGCGTGGCCAGAGGAGAGCAAACCTCCCATCCAGAGGTTTCTTAACATGGAGCCACAAAGCTGCTGTTCTCCCAAAGTGGGGCCGGCGATGCTCGGGCACTTAACGTCTTTTCCTCCCGCGCAGATTCAGCAGGCGATTTATGGCGACTTGCAGAACCACACGGTGCTGGTCATAGCTCACAGACTGAGCACTGTCGAGAAGGCACACAACATCATTGTGCTGGACAAGGGCCGCGTGGTGCAGCAGGGTTCGCACAAGGAGCTGATGGAAGAAGGAGGCCTTTATTCCAAGCTGGTGCAGAGACAGATCCTGGGGCTGGAGGGGGGCGGCGCGGACAGTCGCCAGCCCGCAGCCCGGGGGGATTCAGCGAAGGTGCCCGGTGGGCTGGAGGAAGAGTTCAGGATAGACCATTCCCTACCGGCCGTGGCACAGGACGATTACAACAACTCGGCTCACAAGTGAGAGCGGCGAGGGCTGGCACTCGAGACGCTTGCTGGAATGCCAAGACAGGAGGCAGCTTGCCGACGGGCTCGCGTGCTGCAGAACGATGGCCAGCCATTTGCTCACCCCGCGTGCGTCACACACCCGTACACACAGACACACACAGACACACACACACTATAGAGCTTCCTGCATTACGGTCCGGCAGGCAGATGCCAGCTGGTTAAACAGGGAAATGGATTTATTGGAGGGAGTTGGGTCTTTAGCAATTCCCAGTGTTTCTACTGGGTTTCTTTTCTTACTACCAGTAATTCCTCTGGACTGGGACTTTTCTCCCATTGATATGCATGTGTAACTGCTATTAACTGTAATGGATGTTAAATGCATGCATGGAGGGGAAGATTGAAAAACCCCTTCAGGAATTTCAGGGGGTGGCTTTTGTGGCTGGATAGAAACACAGTGACTGTAAAACAAGGTTCCTGCTCCCGCTATCAATCTACGGGGCCAATCCAAAGTCTGCTGAAGTCTGTAGGGAGCTCCCTTTGGCTTCGGTGAAAACTGGATCGCTCCCGTGGGGCTGAGCGCCGGGAGAGTTTTGCACTGAGTGCCTGCAGGCTCAGGCTCACAACCATTGCTGCTGAGCTTGTACCATGTAGTAACCATCCTTGCTGGAACGAGCCAGGGGACCGGGAGGCAGATGTTACTTTCAAATTTGCTCTTGGTGCTTGGTGGGTGTTTGTTTTTAAGGATGAAAAGTTTTACCATAATTGGGTTAGGTTTGGGGTTTAGGGGGGTTTTGGTTTGGATTTTTTGGTGGGTTGGTTGGTTCATTTTTTGTTGTTTTTTTTTTTTTTTTAATATATTTGTGTGCACTGTGCAATGTCTGTCTGGCTCCAGCATCCACTGAAAATTGCTCTTTTATTTCAGAATTTTTTTAACTCTCAACCCCGGTGCTGGTTTGAAATACACTACTAAAGACAGGCATAAAATACTAAAAGACAGCACTTTATAAATCCCACCAAAGCTTTGTTCAGCTTCAGGCCATGCTAGAGACTTCACTGCACGGGAAATCCATACAGCCACTTTCCTTGAAGTCCAGCTTCAGCTGCCTGAACTTTAAAATGTGTTTCTTTGAATATTAATTATTTATTAACTTACTTTTAGTATGAGGGATAGAAAGAAATACATTGCTCCTAGCCCTTTTGGGTAATGGCTCTGGCTTAGTAGTGTTATCCTGCCATAGACTGGTGAAGAAACGTATGCAGCCAGGCAGGTGCTGTTAAAAAAAATTGCATTTATATGGGGAAGATTGACTTCAGACTGTGCATAGTTAAGAAATTATCTCAAGCACTTTAGCTCTCATGTTTTCCAATATTTGAATGCTGCTGTGTTTTACTTTTCAGCAGGTTTGCATTTTTGTTGTTGGCGATGTTTTGTTTTCGTTCAGTGATGTTTTACAAACTCTTTAGTGTCCTTGAGAAGGGATGCTCAAAAAATAAAATACTACCTCTGCCACTCAACATGGAGCCGATCTAGTGGGGGTGTTTTTTGCATTCAGGGTTTTCAAGGTAATGTTCATCTGAGATGATGGCAGAATACAGCTGCACACTGCACACATTCTTGCTCCCTTGCGGGGAATGACAAGAAGAACCTACAGAGATTTAGGTATGTAAAAGACTTCAGCATCTGGTAATGGCTGTGAGCCATAGCAGTAGGTATAACCTGTTTAAGAACCTGTTTTCATCCCAAATGGGATCCCGTAGTCAGTCTCGCACAAAAGGGCAGGCAGTCTAACCCGTTCTTAAAGCACGGTGCTTCGGTGACTGGAATCTTTTCAGCTGCTTGCTTTTGGGATATGATAAAAATCTGTGCCTCAGAAGAATGAGAGCTCTCTTTGGCTTATCTCCCTCCACTTAGGAAATCCCTGTTGTGCTCTGAACTCCTCAGTTCCCCACTTCACTAAGTGGCCAGTACATTCATGCTTGACGAAAATTTGCACTGTGGGTATGAAGAGGTTGGGGGTTCCACCCAGCACTGGAGGGCATGTGATTAATTCTGCATTTTTATCAGTACCTGTGAGCAGAATGGGGCCAGCGGTTCATAGAAGTGGAATTAATTTCTGCTTAATTGAAAAACTCAGGGGGAAGAAAAAAATGGGTTACCTGGGAAGTAGGGAAGCCGACTCACCCTGGGAAGTGCTGGTAGGACAATGCTTGTTAGTACCAAAGATGCCAGAAAAGAGAATTTGATCATATCACATGTGTCCCTCCCAGGCAGTGCCACAAAAAGGGGAATTGGAGAATACAATTGGATTTGTTTTATTGCAGAGACTGGGTTTCAGGAAGGGAGCCCTGCTTCCCAAGCCTGTTGGGATGATAATCCCAGTGTCATACTCTCAGGTCAGGTCCAAACAGCTTCAACTGAAATGGCACATTGGGAACGGCAGATTGTCTCTGCTGGTGGCACCAGTCCAAGCTGATAACAGGGCCCTACTTCGTTCATTGCCACAGGTGCTGAATTCCCTCTTTTGCATCCAGATAACTCAAGGCTACTTTTCCACTGAGCCTTACATCTCGTTGGTATGTGACAAGTGGATCTGCCTGTACGCTAAAGCCGTGAGGGATTTCTTTTGGTGTGGAAGCCTGGTGGGAGCTGCACACACCACCAGGGGTGCAGCAACATTCCTCTAATGCAAACATTTCTGTGGGCTCCCTACAAACCCTGTGACTACAGAAAATGCTGCTTTTCAAAGACATTCCAACTGTGACTTCTTTCTGAAGTGAAAACAGGGGTCCGTGATGCCCGTTAGCCAGTCTAAGCCCAGCAGTGAAGATGAGCTCAACCCAGCACAGCAGTGGGCATTGCTCCAGTGCTGGAATACGAGCCGACTCCTGGAGCTGCCTTGTCCCTTGGGCCTCGCTGCCTGCAGGCAGTCTCTGTTTTTTCAGGCTATTCTCCTGGGAACACGGCCACTGTTCCCTCTGAAACCCTGAACTGTAGTATTTTGTGGCTGTGGGTTTGCTCAGAGTTGATATTTACATGGGAACGCGAACAAGATCCGTTCAGGAGCTTCTCAATTACAGCCATGCAGATAAAAAGTTTCTGCTCCTCAAAAGGAAGAGTCTTCTCTGTGGCGAACTAAGATTGGTTTATCTGAAACCTTAACTCAGGGAGCACAGCTTGACAACCGTCATGGCAGAACTGGAAGCAATTAGGCATTTGGAAGCACAATTGACTACAAAGTTTGACTGTATATTCCATAGCAGGTTGTTTTCCTCACTATTAATAAGCTCTAACCATTCCCTGTAATAGGTATAACCACGGCTTTATTTGATTTAAACGTTGGAAAACCCTACCCGAGATGAAGTTCAAGAATAGATCCTATAGTCCTAGTGATTCCCCAAGGACACGTATTTACCTCTGCATCTTTGCACAGGCAAGGTATGTGGCTGACTGACCCAGTAAATGAGAACACGGTGTAATGGAAAAAACACAGCTGTGTTTATTCCAACAACTTGTCTGCCGGTGCACCAACCTCTGTCTCAATAAGCAACTGTGTGTGTTTCAGTGGCTGCGCTTTCTAGGCTTTCAGCAGGTCTGGAAATACCACAAGCAAATAGACAGAGTGCTTCTAACTCAGGTTCAGAGATGCATCTTAGTCTGGGGAGGAAAAACAGTACCTGTCTCTTCTACTCTAGCTTCACTGTGAGCTTAAGGCAAAGAAAGTATTTGCAGGTGTATAAACCTGCTCCTCTTCCCACGCCTGTGGCTGCCTGAAAGAAAGGAGAGAAGTAACAATTAATTCTTGCTCTCTCACACAGCGAGACCACCGTTCTCTCTCAAACAGGACCACCGTTTCTCTCCCAGGATTCTGAATATGCGGGTCATTTTCATGTGTGAAGGAACCTAGATTATGAAATCTAAACAGAAGTATGGACTGTGATTAATACATACAAGGAAATTAAATTGCAGATAAACCTGAAAACTTATCTGTCCATTGAGCAACCAGGCTAATAAGGGTTAATAAACGCCAAAGATTAGACTTGCAAATTCAGTCTCTATGTAACCAACCAGTTTTTCCAGGAAAAGAAGTGAAGTTGTTGTGAAGGTGACTTGCAAAATATGTCTAAATCTAATAAATATTCATGGGTACAGTGCTACTGACCGTAAAAGGATATGAGGTGACAGAAGGAAATCCAGGATCAAGTTTAAAAAGTAAAAAAATCTAACATCTAATTTAAACTGGGCTGGATGCCAGTTCTCGCCACGACTGAAGCCTGACTCCTTATTCACCATGACATGGTTTCCACTGCAATCTTCCCAATTTTTTTGTTCCATTTCCCCTGTAATAAGAAATCCTGACTTCTTTACTTTGCCCGCTTACAGATTTAATGTTCATGAATACTCTCACCCTTCAAAAAGACTTTAACAAAGGCAAATAGGAACCAGGGCTTGGTAGTTGATAAGTCTCAGCCTGTAGCACTGCAATGTTTGATAATCCCTGTAGCCTAAAATCCCAGTTTATCTGCAGTCCTTCATAGTCTGTCCAAGTGCTGCGCTGTCACAAAACCTTTATCTTTCATGAAAACTGCTGAATGGAAAGGCACCTTCCGACCTGTCCAAGTAGAATATATAATTACACAAAAGCAGCTGACCACTATCTTACCTCTCAACCTCAGCTGCTTTGCTGGCCAAATGCGAGAACTAAATCATATGCAGATACGGATCAAAGCATGCAAAAGCAGACCAGATGTTTAATATACACACTCCTCTCCAACATCCCCAGAACCCAAACCTACCTACATAGGGAGAAGTGGTATTTTTAATATATGTTGTACCTGAACACAAATGAGTTGTGTTCATTTGTGCATTTTGTGAAGACTTCATTGTTCTGCATTATGTGGCTTCTAACTTTAATACAGATTACCGTTGACTAATTCAAATAATCCATTCCTTGATGTCTAGAGCAGTGAACTCCCATCAACCCCGTGCAACGTATACAAAAATTAGATAGTTACAGA